TCTTTCCCTGAAATGGTACTGAATTATGGAGAAAGAGTAAGCATATTTTTGTCAAAGATAGTATATTGCATATATAGGGCTACATAAATATTATTTCAGGAAGAGTATGGGATGATCTGATCTCAGTGTTCAGCTTTCTACCACATTTGTATTTCTGTAGGAATTCCTGTATTTGCATCTCAGAAAGGGATTATACCTTGCTGTGCTGAAAATGAGAGACCTGTAATTGTATGGGATAAAACTTTTCATGAATCATGTTTGGTTTTACTGAGATGAGGTGTGAAAATATTTTTAACAGCTTTTTTAAATTCTGCTTTTAAAAGAGGGCTGAGATACCTGCTGTTTGTTTCCTTACTGTGAATAATAATAAATTGGTGTTATTAAAGGTGATTACTGGCCTAATAAAATAAAGGCCACTTCAGTACCTTTACTCAAAATGTAAAAATAGTAAATACAACTATGTACTGTTTGAGTCTTGTCAACAGAAGTTGAAAAGTAGGGAATTGTGTAAAAACCTGTCAGTCGCCCTTGGCAAATGTTGCTGTTACTGCCACCTCTTGCAAATTCATCGCGTGCTCCAAGCACAATGGGTTTTGTAATGTTTTAGCTTCTGGATGCCGTGTGATGATAGGTTTGGTGAGAAAATGACGTGATAATAGTTTGGGTGGTTAAGACAGACCAGGACTGGGAATCACATACATCTCTGAACTTAGCACTGTCTGACTGGTGAGTGTCGAGTGGCCGCGGTTAAGAGCAGCAGATTTGGAGTGTGGTGTGGGGTAGTTCTCCAGCCCTGTTTGTTACAGATCACTTTCGTGCCCTGTTTTATGTCATACTTATCCTAGCGTGTGCAGGTCTGACGTGTGACATGAGCGGATCAGGCCCTCGGTGTGCTGAGGACACACATCCCTGTGGCCTGTCCCCGGAGGCGGCCGCAGGAGAGGCAGGTAGGTGTAAGTCATTATCAGACAGAACAGCTCTGAATGGAACTTGTGAGCGTGTGCAGGGATTCTGCTTCTGGGCCTTCACTGGTTTTGTGCAGAGACCCTGTAGCCATGGTGGCACCTGAAGCCTGAGCAGCGTGGCTCAGACCGTGCTCACCACGGCATCCCCCCGCGTGGGATCTCGGGCACCTGCCCGCTCTGGCCAACAGATTTCCTAAACTCAGAGACCTTTCATTTTCTTTCAGTTCCTACTGCTGCTCTTGTGCTTCGTCCTGATTTTTTTTTTTTTTCCTCCTGTGAGTACGTTGCACATACAGTATGAAAGAATGGCCATGTAGAAACAAACTCGGACAAAGAAGCTATAGTGAAAAAAGCTGTTAATGACTTTAGTGTTATTTTTAGAAAGCTGAAGGACTGATTGCTGCTCTACCTAACATGCTATTGAACATTCCAAAATAGCATTTTTCATTTCTGCATATCCAGGGAAAAAGTTAAAATATAATTTTGATTTTTAAATGCAGTTATGTAGAACTCGAAACGGATATTATCTCTTTAAATGA